GGGAATGGCCTGCAGAAAAAATCTGACAACACCAAAGTGCTGGGACAGGGAATGGTGCAGCTGCTTGGGCAGCCTCGGATGGACTTCAGTTTGAACACAGGCGCATAATCCAACCCTGGTGCTCATCTCAGGAAGTGAAACCTGTCCATGAGGGTCATGGCAGCCCTTTGAGCAACAGCCCCACAACGACTGGCACGTTCCAGCAACAAGAGGAACGAACTGTTATCTCAAAGGCATCACGTGGAATGACAAAGCCACAGTTTCATTAATACAACTGTCTCATATGACAAGATTCCAGTGAAGCAGACAGATAGGTTGTTGTCGGGGTCAGTTTCTCTGGGGTGAAGGATAGTTCCATATCCTGACTGTGGCAGGGGTGGTGCTAATGCAGAAGTGTGATGAAATGCCATACACTCCACAGCCCCCAAGAATGCGTGAACTCCCTGCGAGCAGGGTTGTACCAACGTGCATCTTCTGGTTTGAACATCACACTATGTGTGTAAGACATTACAGGTGGGGATCTGGGTGAAGGGCACACAGGGCTCTATTTCTGCAACTTTTATGTGAGTCTGATATTATTTCAAAATACAGAGTTTAAATTGGGCAGACTTCGTAAAATGACTCTATGATCTATAGGGAAGCAGTTTTTCTAAGCAGGAATAATATTCTCAAAGAGTTTCATCAAAAATATTCAGGCATGTGTTATAAATGCACATTTCCAGGGCCACTAAATCAGAAACTATGGAAGTAGATGAGGAATCTGCATTGTTTTCAAGTTCTTGAGCTATTTTATGATCAAACAAGTTTGGGGAGCACTGGTTTAGGTAGAGACTGTACTTACAGAGGTAGAGGTAAACTTTAATCATCTAGAAATTTTGCTTGTCTAGAGTCCTTGGATGCTAGATAAAGTGAGAGTCTGTACATTAGCACTGACAGGTGGGCTGTACGTTTTTCTCATTTATGGTCAGGCTGCTCAGATACTGCAGGGAAATGGTAGCTGGGTGACACCCTCCCTGTGGAACACACAGGGCCATGAATGAGAGGAGAGGCTCTACAGGAGGGGGCCATTCCCTTTGGTGCAGCCCTGTTCCACATGCCACTGTGTCCTGTGGGCCCAGGACAAGGGGACCACAGGGGCTGTGGAGGAGCCAGGGAGGGTGTCCAAATGCTATGGACTGAACTGTGTCCCCCAAAGTCCACCGCAGCCCTAACCCCCCAGCCTGATACTGTAGTCAGAGATGAGGTTTTTGAAGAGGGAATTAAGGTTAAATGAGGTCATAAGGGTGGGGCCCTGGTCCAAGAGTCATTGGGAGTGAGTAAGCACATAGAAGGAGGCCCCCCATAGAAGGAGGACTCGAGGAGATGACCATCAACACACCAAGGAGAGAGGCCTCAGGAGGAACCACCTGCCAGCACCTTGATCTCGAATGTCCAGCCTCCAGACTGTGAGGAACAGATGTCTGTTGTATATGTGGTGGCAGTGTGAGCAGGCTAAGACAGCAAGGAAGCACGGATCCCTGAGAGAGGCGCAAGGGGAGCTGGGAGCAGGCATGGAGGATGAGGACCAGGTGGGGCTGGGATGAGGGAGACACCTCACACCCACACCTGCTGTCTTCCTTCTGCTGTGAACCTGAGCACCTACTCCAGGCAGCCAGAGCTGGTCACAGCTACCCATGCAAGCTGCCCTGACCCCCAATCTCTCCTTGGAGCTGCCAGGACCCTCCAGGGACAGCCTCTGAGGCAGGGATGCAGTCTGGCCTTGCCTCCCCTTCCCCCCCACCACAGCCCCACCCAGGAGGTGCAGGTCTGTTGGGAACAGCCTCTCACTGAAGGTGCAAAGCGGGCACTGCCTGAAACAGGTGGCACAGGCTGACACAGGTCCCAGGCCATTGGTCCAGGCTATATGCCATCTTTCAGTTTATTTGGAATTAGCAGAACATTAATTTTATGGTACTCTGATTTACTCGAACTCATTGGAAAAGACCCTGATGCTGGGCAAGATGGAAGGCGGGAGGAGAAGGGGACGACAGAGGATGAGATGGTTGGATGGCATCGCTGACTCGATGGACATGAGTTTGAGCAAGCTCCGGAGTTGGTGATGGACTGGCATGCTGCAGTCCATGGGGTTGCAAAGAGTCGGACATGACAGAGCGACTGAATTGAACTCTGATTTAATACTGTACTTGGTACCTAATCAGACATTCAAGTAGACACACAAATTTTAAACCAATAAGTATGACTGAGCCCCTTTGCTGTTTACCTGGAACTATCACAATGTTGTGAATCGGCTATACTTCAATACAGAATAAAAAGTTAAAAAAAATCAAACCAAAGTATGTTGCTCCCCACCTCACAAACGTGACTCAGTTTAGACCATGAACAATGATCCTACAGAGTGCTGGTGATTCCTATGACTGTAACAGTTGAGAAATGTGCTTAAATAGAGATATTTTCTTTCGCTCTGAGAAACCTTAGACTTTAATTTCCCCTAACTTCCTAAAGAGAAACACTGCTAAGGAAGATCCTCCCTTAATTATTTCTATGACGCTTAACAGTTAAGTCTGCCCTGGGCTCAGAACTCGTAATTCTGGCTGAGAGTGTGCTGCATGTAAATTATACCCTCAGTATTCAGACACATAGTTTCCGTGTGACTCACTTTCTCCCAGAGAATCCAGCACATGGCAGAAGCCGACTCAGCAGTTTCTCTCATGAGGCCACCTCCCCACCAACTTGCCGACCCTCGAACACTCAGGGCTGAGATGAGCGTGTCCAGAGACCCCTTGCGGGTGCAGAGTTCCACATCTGAGGGCGCTAAAGCAGGGGCCCCTGGGGCTGACCGCCAGCCAGCACTTTCACATGCAATGGGACATTTTAATTTCCCAGTTAGGATATGAAAGCTCTTACTAGCTCTCCAATGAAGTGGCTGTGATTCTTTGTTCTGAAACCGGCAGTGCATGTGCTGGAAAAGCATCTGTAAAAGGGCGGGCACATCCCAGAACCGTGACCCGAGGGCTGGACGTGCTCTACAGATGGAAGGACTGGGACAGTGACAGGAGTCCCAGACCCAGTGCTTATTCTCCACGCGCCAATGATGGTTTGCAAACTCCTATCCAAATGCCAGCTGAGATGCAAGGTGATGTGAGTATGCGCCCAGAGCCCTTGGCTTCCTGACTCTGGATGTTCAGGTCACAACCTGGAGGACAGAAGACTCTGTCCTGCTCAGAGACCTGAAGCTGCCTTGGACTCAGAGCTCCACCACCTCACACACCCCTCAGAGGGGAAGGACAGCCTCACAACAGCTCTGCAACAACCAGGCGCTCAGTGTGGCTGTGGGTGAGCCAGGGCCACCCGGTGCAGACAGGACAGAGCTGCCCCTGGCCCGCGTGACTGTCAACATCCACCCGAGTGCTCCCACCACTACCAGAGACCCTGCAGGCTCCTGGGAGACACCCGCTGGCTCTCCTCCTGCCCTCAAGGCTGGAGGAGCAGCAGGAAAACCACCGAGCCTCCCAGGGCCCTCAGCACCCTCCCCTGTTACTAGTGCGTCTATTATAATCACCTGTTCTGAGTGCACCACCTGCGGCCATTGGGCCATTCCTGGAATAGTCATCTCAAAAAAGTTCATTTGGAAAAGTAAATCCAAATGCAAAAGAACTTTTTTGTGTGTGGACCAGCACGAATGGCACAGAACCTAAAAGCTGGTGAAGCAGTTTTGGTAACAGAAGCAACAGGCAAGCCCAAAACTAAAGAGGAAAGGGTGAAGAACTCAGATCATCCAGAGAACTATGTGAAATAGCCCACAAGAGGGACGTGGTGGTCCCAGGCACCATTCAACTCTCAGGGTTTCTTCAGCATCACTTTGAGTTCAGTGAACAGGACGCTTGATGCCAGAATCATAAGCGGCTCTAATTTTCAGAAGCTGATTGTCAGTATAAATCATTCCATTATACTGAGATTTCAGTTTTCAAAACTCAGAGTTTAGAAAAAAAGCACTTCATTATATGGCAGGATCTCAAGGAATCACAATGTGGGACAGACCCCAGCACCTCACTGGGGGGAGAACATTTCCACACCTCCTAGAGCTTCTTCCTGGTTGAGCTTTGGGGGACTGCTCTCCACTCCTCCCTCTCTGACGTGCCCCCCGCCCCGAGGAGCACATTTCTCCCGCCCTGGGGGGGGCTTGTCCAGCAAGATGGAGTCTGAAGTGTCTTCTGTTGGTGGGGCAGCCAGGGCCGGACCAGGAGGCAAACAGAACAGGCCTGGGCCCACCCTGGAGAGCCCAGGGCCACTCTAGGTCTCTGCTTCGGGTGACATGCTACAGAGCTTAAAGTTGGTGCTGACATGCTAAGGCAGTGGCTTGTTTTCAAAGCTGGACAAAGAGAGAATGTTTGGTTCTCGTCCTCACTTAACACCTCATCAACATGCGGTCAGTTCACAGGGTCCCCTCGACATCCCACGGACTTTGGGACCCCCCCCAGGCTGAGACCTTGAGACCCTTCTTGACCTCTTCCTCCAGCCCCCCGCCCTGCTGTGGTTTCTAGTCTGACTTGAGCCCACACCCACTGCCAGCTCCGTGGACTTCTGTTACCTGCCGGCCAGGTCCACCTCCGGCACAGTACATCTCAGCTCGTTCCCCAGACCCAGGACCCCTCCAGTTGCCCTGCTCAGGGGTGGCCCTGCCCCACTAGAAACTCAGGCCTTTTCTGGATGCCCCTACCCCTGCAGCTGCTCAGCACCGCCCAGGCCCCCACCTCCTGCCCTCTGCTTCCATCCACCTCAGCCCGTGTGACCGGCCTGCATGGGTCCTGCTCCCCAGTCTTGAGCCAGGCCCTCCACACTTGCATCCTGGCTCTGGGTCCTTCCCAGGCCAGGCTTCTGTGAAACGCTGTTCCCTCTCCTCCAGGCAGCGCCTACCGGAACTGTGCTTGGCACCCAGGAGGCAGCAGGCACAGGGGCTGAGAGCACGGAAACTCCCTCCCGCCCCCAGACGGCAGACGCACCTGGGTGAGCAGCTGGTCAGGCGCCAGCTGGTTGATCCACCGCGTGTACCGCTCGGTGGAGTTGGGGGGCTCCCGCGTCACTTGACAACCGATAATCTGTGAAACAATAACAAACAGGACTTAAAGCCGTGCAGCCTTGGGGGCAGCCCCGTGTTTCCATAACTTTCTCCATTCAGCTTCTAAATAAACAAGAGCTGCAGCCCTAAGAGCTCATTGCCCCCGGCCGCCTCCCTCTGTCTAGGCTGCCAGAGCAGCCCCCACAGTGATGCCATCAGACAGGCACTCCCCGCCCCAGGAAGAATCCATGCTAGCTGCCGTCTAAATCCTCTCCTGTACCCTGCCGGACTACTCCTCACTCCTTCTGCTCTTGGTTCTGGAAGCCAGCCCTGCCTCCTCCTGGCCATAGACACCACCCCCTCTCCGCAGCTTCGCAGGCTGACTCCCAGCACACACCACCTAGGGAAGCCCCCCCGCACGCTCTGCTCGGGTATCTGCTTGCAGTGCATTTAAACATCCCTAAGACTGCTCAGAGGAAAAGGGTCCAGCCCTCCTGTCAGTGAGGCAGGCTTGGAGGGAGGCTGGCCCCTCCCACAGATATCAGGGGTCCTGATGCTCAGACACCAGCAGTCCCAAGGCTCAGACGCAGAGAATGGGCCAGTTTCTGAGGGAGGGGCCCCTCGCAGCAGCAGGAGGAGGCCTTTCTCCCCTTTTCTGGCCAGGGGAGGGCGGCTGGAGTGTCCGAGGGTGGCAGAGAGCCTGCCCCTCGGTGAGGGTCCTGTGAGGCTCTCACAGGCTGGCTGGCCTCGGGAGATGACACTAGCCTCCGATCCCCAGGCTTCGTCTTCCCCACCTTCCCGACCACCAGATAACACAGTCAGGAAGGTCAAGAGTGGCTGGCTGACTTAAATCACTGCCTAAGTCTCCTTATTGAGAAACGAGCAAAAGTCACCTCATGATATCTGAGTTTCTTAAAACTTGCTCTAATATACACAACACTTACACATGGTGATTAATTTATATTAATGCAGTCATGCTACTAAAGAGTTTTGAGAAGGTTTTTGCCTACTTTGCTTGAATTTCGTTGTTGTGGTTGTGTTTCGTGATCCTGCTATACATATACACATATCCATTCTTTTTCAGATTCTTTTCCCATACAGGTTATTATAGAACACTGAGTAGAGTTCCCTGTGCTATACAGTAGGTCCTTGTTTGTTGTGGTTTTTTAATCTGTTCTTGAGAGAGAGAGAGAAATGGTAGATTCGCGTGTGGTAGTAAGAAATAACACACAGAGATCCCATGTGTGTTATTACTTGGTTTCCTCTAATGGTAACATCTTGAAAAACCAACACTTGGCCTCCACTGGGCTCAGGGACACTGGGCGTCTCCACGGCCACAGGGGCCCCTCACGGTGCCTGTATGGCTGCTTCCCGCCTCCCCAACCCCNCACACCCACCCCACCCGCCCTGCCCGTTCCCCCTACTGCTAGTTCGCAGCCACAAACCTGCTACTTCAATGCCATAATTCTTTCAAGAACATTGCAAAAATGCAATCACATTGTGTGTAGCCTTTAGCAATTGGGTGATTCCCTGGAGGTTTGTTCCCCCCTTTATTTTTTTTTTTTTTGGCTGAAAAATACTCCACAGCTTAACCCTCTACAGGACACCTGGGCTGTTTCCAGTTTGAAGCTGTTACTATTATTCTGCTGCAAACACTCATGAAGGGGCTTTTGTATGAACAAAAGTCTTCGTCTCTCTGGGATGAACACCCGGAGTGTGACTGCGGTCATACAGTCGTTTCATGTTTTAAGAAACTGCTTTCCTGAGCGGCTGAACCACTTCCATCCCCACAGCAGCACTGAGACCAGTTTCCCCGTGTCCTCGTCATGTGTTTCGGTCTAGCTTTCCCGACAGGTGTGTGCAGTGACTCGCGTCTGTAACATGCATCCCCAGTGGCTCATGAGGCTGAACCTCCTTCCGGGGGCTTATTTCTCATCTGCCTGACCCTCCAGAGAAATGTCTTTCATCCATTTCCTGATTAGGATAAAACACACTTGACCATAGGCGTGTATTCTTTTTACATATTGCTGAATTCTGTGAACCCTTTATGTATTTCCCCTAAAAGCACATACTAAACACAGTTACACATCAGAACAGCTCTTGAATGAGCAGCTTGCCCAGTGCGAGGCAGCAGGACTGATGTGACCAAGGCATATATTTTTAACTGTCTATTCCATCTGTTTTCTGGTATCGTTGACACTGGCTTGCATTTGATGGCTGAATAGAAAAGGTTTTGAAGAAAAAAGGAAACATGTGGATCAAAGCTGTGAGCTAGAAACCCTCTGTTTCAAAAGTATTCCCAAACATGAAGATGAAGAGGCTTAACTTCTGTATAAACACCCAGGCCCCGGCCCCACACTGCTGTGTCATGAACAGCTGCTGGGGGTGGGGGGCCAGCCGAGCACAGCCCAGCCCACGCTGAGAGACACACTTCTAGTCAGGCCGTGAGGGGAGGCGGACATGGCCTTTCTGGGACATGAGCTGACTTATGCTATTTCCGCAGTGAACACCTGAGCCCCCTTCCCAAACCTCACCTTCCACTCTGCCTCTGAGGAAGGCTGAACTACACTAGGTGGGGTCTCACATGGAGAAGGGCTAGGAGGACATGAAATGAAGCTGGAGCTTCAGGGGCTGGCTGTTCTTTGAGGCTTTAATCAATGTGAGTATTGGTCTACAAAGAATGAAAGGCTATATTGTTTGCCTTGTGAAAGTGAAAAGTGAAAGTCGGACACTCAGTCGTGTCTGACTCTTTGTGACCCCCATGAACTGTAGCCCGCCAGGCTCCTCTGTCCGTGGGGTTTCCCAGGCAAGAATATTGGAATGGGTTGCCACTTCCTTCTCCAAGGGATCTCCCCGACCCAGGGATTGAACCCAGGTCTCCTACATTGGCAGGCAGATTCTTTACCATCTGAGCTACCAGGGAAGTCCTTTGTGTGCATTAACACTTTTTAAAAGTATGCTGGCCTGGGCCACAGGGCAGACAAAGGCAAACCATAAAAGAGGCACCCGCAGCAGGACGCCAAGCTCCTCTCCCGTGCTGCCTGCCCTGCCTTCATGCCAGACCGCCACGGACACCACGCCAGCTCAGGGCCTGTACACAGTGCTCAACAGGCACAGGCTGAACGAACACCGAGAGTGGGAGACTGAGAGAATGCTTCAAGAAATAATGGTCAAAAATTTTCACAGATTTGATGCAGGCTATAAAACCACAGATCCCAGAACTTCAACAAAGCCTCATTAGAGTCTACCTCTTAAAAAAAAAAGAAAAAACTTATGTTTGTACATCATAACCAAAGTGCTGAAAACTAATATTAAAGAAAAAAATCTTAAAAGCAGTCAGAGAAAAACACCCATTACAGAGAGACATAAGGAAGGCAGCAGACTCCTTGGCAGAAGCCATGGAAACCAGACAAGGGAGAGGGATCTTTTTTAAAAAATATTTTTATTTGTATTTATTTGGCTGAGCCTGGTCTTAGACGTGGCATGCATAATCTTCAATCTTCGTTGCATCATGCAGGATTTTTTTTAAAGTTGCAACATGTGAACTCTTAGCTGTGGCATGCAGGATCTAGTTCCCTGACCAGGGATCAAAACCAGGCCCCCTGCATTGGGAGCACAAAGTCTTAGCCACTGGACCACCAGGGAAGTGCCAGGGAGAGGCATTTTTAAAGGAAGAAAGGACTTCAACCTAGAATTCATTAGCCAGCTAATGAAATTAGCTTTCAAAAATTAAAGGAAAAGAGACTTTTTCAGAAAAACCAAAAGTCAAAATAACTCATCACAAGAAGAGCTAAATTACCAAAAAAGATGAAGGAAGCTCTTTGGGGGAAAAAAGACGATCTGACCGATAACAAGGAATGGTAAGTGGCAGTGATGTTAAACATGTGTAAAAGCAGAAGACATTTTGCCATGTGTAACCTCTTTATAAGATAACTGATTTTGGTAAAAATAAAAACAAATATCGTGGGGTTTACAGAATGAACTGTGTGACAGGATGTGATTTTGTAATCTTATGCTCCATGTGAGATGCTGCCATCTATTTAAGGTAGAGTGTAAAGGTAAGGTACACACTGCACATGGCCCTAAGCCAACCACTGGAAGACAGTGAAACAGAGGTATAGCTGAGAAGTCAAGAGTACAGGTAAAGTGGGATCATAAAACAAAACACGGAAAAGAGGAAGCCAGGAGGAAAGAGGCTCAGGGCAAAACACAAACCAGAAGATGAAAACCAATTACATAAAATACAGAAGGAACACAGTAATAAAAAGCAGAAGTCAGTAAAACAGGAAAAAAAAAGAAAGAAAAAGGAAAAGGGGGGAGGGACTGGCATGTGGCCGAGTTAGGAGGGGTGCCATTGCAAGGTGGCTTGGCGTGGCTGTTGCTTGGATCAGTACCCATCTACAAGCTCTTACTGAGGAACTGAATTTTTACATTTATTTTAAAAAATTAATTATTTTTATTTATTTGGCTGAGCTGGGTCTTAGTTGTGGCTCATGGGCTCTTTAGCTGCAGCATGTGGGATCTAACTCCCCAACCGAGGGTCAAACCTGGGCTCCCTGCATTGGGAGCATTGCGTTTTCACCACTGGACCATCAGGGAAGTCCCAGAAACTGAATTTTTTAAACTTCACTAACCTCAGTTCTTAATGGAAATGAGAACTGATACTGCAAACCCACATAACAAACCAGACAACAAGCTTGAACAGGAAGTTGTAAAATGAGCCCAGGACCTGCACCTTGAGTTCTGAGAGGAAGGCAGCCCACCCTCCCCACCCACTGTCCTCACGGTGTTGCTGGAAGGTCCCTCCTGCAAGGCCTTCTCAGAATCACGGCCTGAAGATGAAAAATAAGGGGTGGGGTGGGGGGAAATGTAAGCATAAAACTGTATTAACTACATTTATGAAATTAGCTCCTAATTTATGTTCATGAATAGTTTAAAGATTACTAAAATGTAAACAAAAATTAGATTTCATTAAGAACTAATTGCCTTATGGATCCAATCCTCAAAATACTTAAAGTGGGTACATTTAGGAATGGAGGC